TTGAAACACCACAATAATAATTATTACAGGCAAAATCCACCAATAAACAAATGCCAACATGGGCAAAAGTTGAAAGAAAAACAAGATATTTACATAGCTTCAAAGTTTCTCCTCAAAATAGTTATCTATTACAAAGGGGAAAATAGTAATTTTAGAGTGAAGATAACTGGCAGACACCACCTTAACCAACTGATCATAGTTAATCTTACCAGTAATGAGACACAGCAACTTCATGTACCTTGGAAATGATGCACTGAGAAGGACACTTCTGTGGAATTCTTGCTACAAACACATAACTTCAACTTAGTCATTAGGTAAACCCAAATTGAGGGACATTCTACAAAGTAACTGACCAATACTCTTAAAAAATGTCAAGTCATTAAAGACAAGGAAAGACTGAATAATTGTCACACTTGGAGGAAGAGAAGGAGACATGGTTCCTACATGCAATGTGTGATTCTGGAACAAAAGAAAAATAGGGCATTATTGGAAAAATTGATGAAAACCTGCATAAAGCTTTTAGTTTAGTTACTAGCATTTTTCCAAAGTTAATTTTTACTTTTAATAATTGTATCATGGTTGTGTAAAATGTTCCATTACGGGAAGCTGGGTGAAGGGCATATGGAAACTCTCTCTGTGACACTTCTATTAAGTCCAAATTAATTTCAAAATTAAAATTAAAAATGAGGCAGCTAGCCTGGAAAAAATAATTGAATTCTTATTCACATTGTATTAATACGACTTCCCTTAGAATATTTTTTTAAATGAACACATAAAAGCCATGGCCGGGTAGCTCAGTGGGTTAGAGCATCGCCCTGATACGTCAAGGTTGTGGGTTTGATCCTGGGTCAGGTCAGGTCAGGACACATACAAGAATCAATCAATGAATGCATCAATAAGTGGAACAACATATCAGTGTGTGTGTCTCTCTCTCTCTCTCTTTTCCTCTCTCTAAAATCAATCAATAAAGTAAAAAAAAAACTTTTCCCAGCCGGAGTGGCTCAGCAGTTAAGCATCAACCTATGATCCAGAAGATAGTGGTTAAATTCCAGTCAGGACACATGCCCAGGTTGTGGGCTCGATCCCCAGTAAGGGCCATGCAAGAGGCAGCCAATCAATGACTCTCTAATCATTGATGTTCTCTCTCTCTCTCTCCCTCTCCCTTCCTCTCTCTGAAATCAATAAAGATATACTTAAAATATAAAAAATAAATAAAAAATTTAAAATGAAAACATAAAAACACTAGAAAAAATGAGGGAAACAGTTTTATAATCTCAGTGTGCAGAGGGCCCAAGAGGCATGAAAAATCAAGCCATAAATAAAAAGACTGATACACTTGATTATATAAAATTTCTAAATCTGCATGGCATCAAACACAATAAACAAAATCACTAGATAAAGGACTTTGATTCACAACATTTACATACTTACAGTAGAGTATAAATAATGTAAAAATTGGGGAAAGAGAGGGAATATTGGGAAAATGCAGCCAAGTTTCAAGGTCAGTCACCTGCAGAAATAAGCCTGCAATTCACTTTTCCTTATTGAGCATGATGGTTTTCAAAATATCATCCACTGTTTACTCTTAAGAGTCTGTGTGTACATGTGTGTGTATGTATATATATATATACATACATGCATAGATAGACATACATACAATCATACGCAAACATGTATACACACTTATACATGCATACTTTTGGCTAAACACCAGTTCTTTCAGCACATGGAAACAAGTTTAGGTATAATAATCTGTGTATAATAATAATAAAATAGTAAAGGTGACCTCAGACTGTTATACACAAAGAACCTCACATATATCATTGTAATTTGGAATTTTTAGTCTGAGATAAGTGAGAAAGAACAAAGTTTAAAAAACTTACAAGGTATATTCACTTGTCACCGCACCCACTAAACAGATTTAATTTAAAACTCAAAGGTCATCATATTGGAAGAGGAAACTAGAAGCTAATAACATGCATTGAAGTTTACACCAAATTAGTATGTAAAGTAAGAGCTATGAACCTAATGATGAATATGAAGCGATGGTTTGCATTTTAACAGACTAAGCAAAAATGTAATTGATAAAGAAGCAAATCTAAATGAATTTCCAGCTATTTCAACACTCCAGCTGCATGTTAACTGTCAGTGTTCTACATAAGAAAAAAATGTTTAAACTGAATTTTTTTTAAATGCAGCCAATATATGGACTTATACACTACTGAAGTTAGCATTCAGTCAATCAGATAAAAAGCATTTTTTTCCAAAAGTAATTTATTTATCATCAAAACATTCAATCTGCAGTTACTTCATATTGATTGGAAAGAAATGTATTTGGAGGCAAATGAAAAATTAAAGTGTTTCTAGGAGCAGTATTGTCATTCCTGGAATTAAATCAAAGTTAAAAACATTTGTTTTCAAGAAGAAGCTAATACAATAAAATTTCATTTAAAAGCCACTACAGCTACCTCACTCAGCTTCCTATTTGTGGCTGATATGAGCTCAAGCTTTGGCACCAGCTTTCCTGGGTTGAAACCCGAACTCTACCATTTCTTGCTGTGACTCTGAGCAGATCACTTAACCACACTGTGCCTCACTTTTCTCACCTTAGTATTAGGGTGATAACAGCACCTCCTAGAATCACTATGAGAATTAAGTGTGTTCATGTATGTAAGACACATGCTCAATAACGGTGAGCTATCATTATTATTCTCAGTCAGGACAGCAATTTCTCAGAGCAGGCATTCTTTTGTGTTAAAAAACTGACAAAGAAGGTTGTGGGAAGCATGTCATGGCTTTGCTGGTCCCTGAATGTAAAGTACTGTCATCATTTCCCATCTCTCACACCTTCTCCTTGATGGATGGGAATCATAGGAATATCTCTGGCTACCTCTCAATCCTG